GCTGGCTGGGGAATTCTGGGAGTTGAAGTCCTCCAGGCTTAAAGTTGCTAAGGTTGGAGACCCCTGGCCTAACACACCTCAAATGTCTCCTGGTACTTATCCCTTAAAAAACCCGCAAAACCCGCCGGGACTCAGGCCTTCTATATTACGGGATGCCCGAGGCCTTCCTTGCCCTTGCGGCCGGGCTTTCCCTTCGCCCCGCTGGGAGCGCCAACTCCAGCCGGACTTGCCCGGGAACACCGCCCTGCTTTTCCCCGGTCGGGCAGCCGCCTTCTCTCGGGGTCCCAGCCCGCGAGAAGGCAGCCGAGCGCGCCGCGGGCTTCTCCCTTCAACCCCGAGCTGCGAGTCTTCCCCTTCCCCAGGCCAGGCTTGAGGAGACGCGCCCGGGGGAGGCGAGGGGCGCCAAGCAGAGGCCAAGGCCTCGTCCTCCTCCGACGGCCGCCAGAGGCGCCTCCGGGGGGCCTTTTCCGGCCCTGCAGGGCCTCGCCCCCCCCCCCGCCGCCGCCCCCCCGTCGGCAAGCAGCGGCCGAGGCGGATACGGGACCCGCAAGGGCGCCTGCCCTCTGCGCATGCGTCCTCGGCCCTCACCCGGCTCCACGAGATCACGTCGTCGCTCCCGGGGTCCTCGACCAGGGTCCAAAGCTTGGCCAGGAAGCCGGGCACGGAGGAGGAGGAAGAGGAGGAGGAGGCGCCGGGCGAAGCCGGGCCCGCGCCCACCAGCGCCGCCGCCACCGCCACCGCTTTCTTCATGCCCGACCCGCGATGCCGGAAGGGCGTCAAAAGACGGCGCGACGGGAGGGGGAAAGAAAGACAGGTCCCGGCTCGCCCTTTCATTGGCGGTCCCCCCAGCTGAGCCCGCCTCCTCGCAGGGCGGGCGCCTGATTGGCCGCGGTTCTCTGGAAACTGGGGGGTGGGGGGGGTGGAGGTGTGCTCGCGCGCCTGCCGTAAGACTCCGAAAAGAGGCGCGGGAGAATTCGGTCGGCGTCGGTGCGGTCCGGCTTCTGCGCGCGGCTCCCCCGTCTTGCTTTTCGGGCGGGTGAGTCTGGCTCGGCCCTTGAAGCCGCTTGGCTGCGGGATCCGGGCGGCTGGAAGCAGACGCGCCGCCGGCTGCAGAGGCTTTGGAAAGGAGTTTGGCCCCGCTGCTTGCTCTCCGGGCTTTCGCGACGAGAAGCGGCCCCTCGAAGAAAGCCCCGCCGCGGATTGCTCCCTCTTGAAGGCTGGCGGGGGCTTGGTAAGACCCCCTCACTTAGGATCCTGCAGCCAGTCCCGGTCCCCCCGTCCGTCCCCCCAGTACAAAAAGAGGCTGAGAGGCTTGGAAAGAGCGCCTAGAAGAGCAGCAACGGGGGGGGGCGGGGTGCTCTGCCGGCTGAAACGCCTGAACGCGCCCGGGTTGCAGGAGCGAGGAAAAGAGGGAGTGGGGGGGTTGCGGCATGATGGCTCTCTGCTGGTCCTTGAGGGGCTGCCGCGAAGAAGCGGGGGGGCGGGGGTTCCGCCTCTTCTCCAAGGCGCCAAAAGGTAAGATGAGACTCGGTGGATGGAAACGAATCCAGGAGAGAAGCGGAACTTAAGGGAAGCGTTTCCCGACGGCGGGGACGCTGCTTCATCAATAGACCAGCTGCCTCCGAAGTTGGTGGCTGATTCGTCTCCGGAGGTTTCCAAGAAGAGACTTGACCGGCCCTGGGCTCCGAAATGCTCTTAAGGAAGGTCTCCTGCTTTTGAGCAATGGGGTTGGACTAGAGGACCTCAAAGGTCCCTTCCAGCTCTGTTGTTCTGGAAGCCCACCGGAGACTGTGCCTCGAGCGAGGGCCCGGAGCAGCCCTCCTGGGCGGTCGCAGTCTTCTCCTCGCCCAGAAAGGGACGCCCAAGAGCCCGTCTCCCGGCTGGTTCTTGGATTCAGCCCGGTCCAGCGGCTGCTTCTTGGATTCAGCCCGGTCCAGAGTCCTAACTCCTCTTATGGTTAGGAGCCGCCCGGCGGCTTTGCCTCCCAGCCTCGCCGGTTGAGCCGCCGCCGCCGCCGCTTCGGCCACTTGTAAGAGCCTTGAAACGGGGCAGAGCCTGCCTTGCAAAAGCGAAGCAGCGCGCGGCTTCTCGGACCCAAACTGGGGAGCATCGTCCTCGGAGCGCAGCTTGCTTCCTCCTCCTCCTCCTTTGAAGCGGAGCAGCCGGGAAAGACGCGGACGAGCAGGGCCGAGGGGTGGGGGCGGTTTAAAGTTCTCCCGGGTATCTGTTGCCTTTGCCGGGAGGCCCCAGGTCCGAATTTCAGCCTGGCCACCGGAGGAAAACTTTCCTTAGACGAGCTGGTTGCTGCTGCTGCTGCTGCTGCAGGTACCACTCCGGCCGATTCCCCCCGTCTTTGTGGCGGAATGTCGAGAGCGAGCCAGTATTTCTCAGCTTCGGCCGCTGAATTCCCGGCGCAGCATGCTGGGACACGAAGTCCTCCGCTTTGGATGACCTCCGTAAAGGTCACGGAACTGGGATTTGGAGCCGAGGTTTCCCCTCCCCTGGCCCCAAGGCTCCGGTCAGGGCAGGAAGCTTTTGCCGGCTGTTTCTGACCTGACCGAGGCGGCTGCATGGAAAGGTCAAAAATGTCAAGCTGGCGCCTCAACGGGCAGGAATCAAAACTGCCGATTTGGTTTTTACTCCCGGTGTTGCAACACGCCTCAAATCCAAGCGTAGCTTTGCCTGCAACAATTGTGGCTGCCTTCTTGACTTGCTTTGACTCTTATCCTGCAGACCGAAGTCCTAAGATAAGGGTTGGAGGCACCGGCGCCCAGCTAACCCCAGCAAAGCCCAACTAGCCCACCTGGGAATGGCTCACCCGAAGCTCTCTCAAAATGCTTAGTACTGCATGCTTAGTACTGTGATGCTTTCCCCCCCCCCTTCATGTGGCACCCACAGCTCCAAATCCCAAGGAGCGGATCCTTCCAAGGCACAAAAGTCAAGTCATTTTCTCTGTGTTAAGGAGCGGATGACTAAGACCTGTTGAGTGTTTGTTCCTTGCATTCTTTATCAAGTTGATTAGTAATCTGCAAATTCTAAGGCAAATATTAGATTCCATCTATGGGAGAGCAAGGAGTATAAAGTTCAGGAAAGTCCCGTTCACTTTGCCCTATTTGAGAATGCAAATAACAATGAATGGATCCATTTCCTGAGATCCCCACTGAAGGCTCCTTTCTTTAGTCTTGCCGTATAAGACCCCCCACAACTGAGCCTGACTTAGAAACCGCATTATTTATGGGCATTGCTTGAAGGAGGGATGAATCACGTCCTCTGTATTTTTCTTATTCTTCCTCAAGTAAGTTGAACTGAGAACCAGCAGCTGAAATGAAAAAAGTTATCTTTGAAGGTGCATTTTTATATTCGAAGACCTGCAATCCCCAAACGTTCACTTTCCCAAGGAAGATGCTAAAATTATATAATTTCATATTCTTGGTGAGAACTGAGAACTCGTTTAGAAAAAACTGGTTTTTTTTTAAAATGGTTCGTTTGTATATTGAAAGGTCAATCCCAAATATTTGCCTCTCTTAAGGAATATGCCAAAATTATATAATGTATAACATTATATAATTATATAATTACATTATATAATTATAACATTATATAATGTTAAGTTCAATCAAAGCTAAACAAAATAGAAAGTAAAGTTTCTATTTACATTTATGATAAACATATATACTTTATGACTGCTTCCATTTTACTTTCCTTCGTTGTTCTTATTGAGTGCCTCGGAAAATGTTATACAAAACTGTTTTTCTCCATTTCTTCCAGACGTCAGCAATTTCCTATCTTAAAAGGCTTGTTCTCTTGACCAAAAGCAGCACCAGTAACTGGGTCAGCCAAAATGAAAACTCTCTCGATGTGGCCCTTCTATTTGGATTGCAAAAGAGGTGGAAGATGAAACTTAGAATAATAGGGTTGGAAGGGACCCCGGAGGTCTTCTCCTAGTCCAGCCCCCCCTTCTGTATCCTTTCAGACAAATGGCTGCCGAGTCTCTTCTTAAGAACCTCCAGTGAAGGAGCACCCACAATTTCTGGAGGCAAGTTATTCCACTGATTAATTGTTCTCACGGTCAGGAAATTTCTCCTTTGTTCTAGATTGGATCTCTCTTTCACAAACTTCTACCCATTACTGTTCGTACTGCCCTCTGGGGCTTTGGAGAATAAGTTGGCCCCTTCTACTCTATGACTGCCCTTCAAATATTGGAAGATGGCTACCATGTCATACTAGTCCTTCTCTTACATGCCTAGCATTCTCCATCATTTAGCCTCCAGATCCCATGCCATCTTTGTTCCTCTTCTCTGCACTCTTCCTAGGATCTCAACATCTACCCTGTTTCTCCAACAATACGGCCTCCCCCAATAGGACGTCCCAGCATGTTTTATAGGCATGAAATGAAATTAAGCCCCTCCCCCCAAATTAAGGCCTATATTAAAACATGCGAAATGGGGGGGGAAATGGCGGGGGGGGGGGGCTTGCTGTTAGGAAGTACTTTTGTTGCACACCCGGATATGGTGCTACCTGCGTTGACCCTGATACAAAGTGCCCCACCAACGCCGAGGTGAACATCCAAGCCGTCGCCGCCCGCCCTAAGATGCAAGGGGGGGGAATTGAGTCACCCCCGAAAAGACAGCCTAGCCGTCAAAAAACAATAAGACCTGGCCTTATTATATGAGAAACACGGTAGTTTCTATCTTTGCAGAAATGATCCTGTTTCTCAAAAGACCTTTAGTAGAAAATCAGTCATACGAATCACATAGGCTGTTGCTCTTTGGGGCTTTGGCAGTAAATCGGGGCCGCCTGGTCTATTTGACCCAGATCAGCTCCAGAGTGCCTGCGAAAATCCTGAAGCCAGCACAGAGGCTGCCTTTCTTCTTTAAATTAAGACTACATGAACATCTTAACATTTAAAATGAAAAAAAAAAATCAATGGATCCTTTTGCTGCTCGGCAAATACATTATAGAAATATCTTTGCATGGCGAATATGTTTTCTAAACCTGTTGGGGACTGTAGGAGTGTCCTGTCTATGGAGAGCATCTGTGCTCGCTCCTTCGATCAGTACAGCAAATAAGTTTAGAAAAATAACTAGGAAGTATTGAGAATTTCTTCCCATTCTACATGCCAGGTGTTCTATAGGTGTGCAAAGAAATGGAGTTAATTGGAGTAACTGCCAGAATCCTGACAGATTAAGCCTCTGTTTCTTGACAACTTTGAGAGGTGTGGACTTCAACTCCCAGAATTCCACAGCCAGCATGGAAGTTGAAGTCTACACCTGCTAAGGTTGAGAAACATGACATTATCTCTCAAGAAAGAGTGTCCTGTTCCGCAATCAAATCTTCAAAAAAGTTTCTGCTGGACCCAGAGATCCTGAGGCAATTTAGAAACCGATCCTGCCAAAGGCTCATTCCTAACCAGAGTCAACCTGTGCACTGATCACCGGTTGCTTGCGAGCTTTCCAAAAAGCTATAGAAGGATCACATGATCTGACCTGTACTAATCTTTCCCCTAAAATAAAGGTCCAGAAATGACCTTTGAGAATCATTTCTCTGATTCAGGAAAATAGAGGGAAAAAATGCACACCCAGTTCGATTCATACAGCAGAAAAATCTTGATGTGTCATTGGATACACACGCAAGGAAGTTCTTCTACTTTTTTCAGTTTTAAATGAATGCTTAAAACATACGAATAGTGCTAATTAAGAGTACTCCTATACAGGTAAGAAAGTACACACCTGTTGTTAAAAACAGATTTA